GGCTTTGAGATTTATTAGCTCTTGCTGCCAAAGAAAGGGTAACTTACATGAAACACAAATGCCAAGAGAAGTTCCAGAACATACAGTACAGTTTCCTGGAACTTTCTAGAGGCTAATCCTTTCAACAGACAGTGTTTCCGTGTGTTTCAGATTCCTCCTCCTTCATTTTTTCCTTGGCTAGCTGCTCTCCTTGAAGTTAGAATGAAGGGGCAAAGTTATATGGAGAACAGCCTACAGTTCTAGCTTGAAAAATTATTCAGATTCTGTCTTGTACTTTAAGGACAGTTGTAAAGGGGAGGAGAGTGTAACATAATAGTAATCTTAGAACTGCAGAACTGGAAAGGACCCTATGGATCATTGAGTCCAGCTCCTCTCAAGGAGAATTGAGCTCCCATTGTGTGTCTCTGCAGCCAAATGCCTAAACCACTGATTTGTCCAGCAGTTCATGATTGTAGTTTGTTACATTTCTGGTCCAACCTTCCAGTATACAATGGTGGCCAAGATGGTTTACAAACATCATAAAATAGAATAAATATAAGCAGAAAACAGATTAAATCATGACACCATTAAAATCACCTTAGGCTATATAACAGTTCTCCAGCACACCACCCCCTCTGTTTGGAGGGATTCTAAGCTGAAGGTTCCCAAAACTCAAAATAGAAATAGTCATCTCGGCATTTCCAATTTCATTTGTTTCTATGGGGGACATTTTGAGGCAATTCAAGGGCCTAGTGCACCCTGTGACAGGTGCTGGGGGGGGGGGAAATTGGTCCCCAGGCTCTCCAAAACTGCCCACTCCAAAATGCAACTGACAACCGATACAGATCTCACAGTATTATTCTTGTTCTTGATAGTGAGGACCAATTACCATCCTAGCTGTCAACTAAAGGTCTTGGAGGTTTTTGTGTTTCCCTTATCTAGTGTCTGGTGTAGTTTATCCTTCTATTTCTATTAAACATAAGATCGATTTTCAAAGCAAGTCTTGTTTCAAATAAAAGTCGGAATAACAACTATGCAAAATAAAGAAACAAATAAAGAAAAACAGTTTGTAGTTTTGCTTTTGGACACAGATTGATTTGTGGCAGAGGGAAGTTTGCACAGATGAATTCAGATAGTAACATGTGAAACTCCTCATCTCCAAGACAGCAGTTTGCAGACAGAAATCCCTGAAACAAATAAACACAAGATGTGCTTTCAGTGCCCTCTAGTGAGCTATGGGGAAAATCAGAGCATTATTTTCTGTCTCCGATCTACAGAGATAACTGTCACCAATGGTTTCGAGTGCAGTGGAGCACTTCAGGTCAAGGCTGTCCACTGCAGGAATTTTTCTGGTGGACGGGGGACTGCATAGTGGTGCCTCAACATAATTCATATGCACAATATGCACCACTACTACACATTGGCCAAAATCCTGTTATTTAGTATAATAAGTCACAGAGTAAAGTTAAAGTAAGCCCATTGAAACAACGGAGCTTATAGAGACGTCGACTCACTCAATCCCCGTTGATTCATTGGGCCTAATCTAGTGCAGTTTACTTCTCTGAGCAACAGGATTTTGGCCATTCCCCACCTGTGCATGTTAAAATTGATAGTTTGGGCATCTGGCTGTGGAGGCAGAGGTTGAGAGCTTGATTCCTCACTTGGCCTCCTTGACAAGGGCCGGGCAAGGGTCCCTTCCTTTCTGACATTTTAAGATTAAAATGACAAAAATACACTTAGGATATCCCTTTGACAAGTCAGATCTACTGGCTGATTTTTACTAAAACTCTAAGACAGACCCCAGTGCAAAATACATATACTTAAAATTAAAGAACAGGATGTGTCTGAGCATGTTCTGAGCTGAAGAATTTGTTCTCAGCAATAGAACTGAACTAAGTTTATGGTTTGTTTGTATAAATATCCACTGTTTTTACCTCAAGTTTTCTTTACCTCAGGAGGTTAATTCAAGTATTGTTATTGCTACTGCTAAACTATGGACAGTCAGAGACTCAATGTACTGCGATGCAAATCACCCAGAGATCCATCTTCGTTGGAAGCATTTTGCAATATTTCTAAAGGCAGAAAGCAAAAGTGCACAGAACGATACAAGATTACTTAGGGAGAAAGGCAATGAGACAGTCACCCAGAAGGTCTCTGTCTTGCAAGGATTCAGGCTCACTTTATTGGCCTTCATCCAGGCCATTACTGATCCCAAGCAACAGCCCAGGATTTGCATGACCACACCTGATTCAAATGTTACAGTAAAGCTGCTTCTCATCAGCTCAGTGATGACACTTCACTCCAAAATCTGTAATTATCAAATCCAAAGATTCTGTGTAGATATTATGTAACGCTGTGGAGAAACACCCTCTACAACCCCACCTCCAAAGCCAAGTGATAAAAGAATAAACACTCTGTATTTATATAAGTATTGACACACCATTCCATTATTGATTCAATGGATCTACTCTAGTTGGAACTACAAATTAGATTTAGGCCATGGTTTCTAAACTGTATTAATTTGCTGCTGTTTAGAAGGATTAGAGTGGTAATTGGGGAGAGGTGACCCAGATTTTTATCCAGAATGCTAATATATAGAGGTACAAAAGAAAATATTTTGTCAAGCAAATAGGAATGGAAGTGAAGGAACTTGTTTCATCTCCCATTAGAAAATATTTTGTCAAGCAAATAGGAATGAAAGTAGGAATGTTTCAACTCCCATGGATACCATGCTGCGGGAAGGGTGCAACTGTGTAGACCACCTCCAGCCAAGCAAAAGGAAACACAGAACAAGCAGGCTCAGTGTGAAACCTGTACAGCTTTCATGTACTCAGCCCAAGATGTTCTTCCATTCCATCCTTGTGGATGCCAATCTCCTGAGACCCAATCTTGACCAATAAGGCAGTGAAGCAGCAGGTGCCTGAACTGCTAGTGTGATGCCTCTGAGAAGGATAATGAAGAGACTTCGAGCTATATGGTTTCTGTTCTATTAAACTCCTCACTTCTATTAAACTTCTACTAAGTAGACAATTAGTTTTTCCCCTCTACGTCTTTTCAAGCTCAGAGCTGATGATGCCATGATACTGTGTCCTGACATTCTTTTTATTCCACCACTGGTAGGTGGTAACAGAGAGACAGAGTTGTGTGTCATCAGCATACAGATTACACCTTACTCCAAAGGTCCTGATGAACTCCCCCAATGGCTTAAAATAGATATTAAACAGCATAGATATTAAACAGGGGATAATGCTGATCCCTGAGAAACCCCATACCAAAGGTCCAAGGTGCTGACACCTCCTTGGACACAGTCTTCAAGGAAGGATCATAGCCAGTTTAATGCTAAGCCCCCAGTCCCAACCTCAGAGAGGATACCATGGTAGACAATATCAAAAGTCACTCAGAGATCCAGGAGTACCAATACAAGGAAGGATCATAGCCAGTTTAATGCTAATCCCCCAGTCCCAACCTGAGAGCCTGTCCAGGAGGATACCATGGTAGACAATATCAAAAGCCACTCAGAGATCCAGGAGTACCAACAGGGTGAATCTGCTTGTCAGCCTCCCTTAAAATGTCATCCTGCAGTGCAACCAATATCGTCTCAGTACGCTGTCACGGCCTGAATACAGAGTGGAATGGGTCAGGGCAATCCTGCTCCTCCAAGTATTACTGCAGCTGATTTGCCACCACCTCTCAGTCACCTTGCCCAGGAATTATATGTTAGCGATTGGACAGAAATTGTTAAGGTCTGACACTAACTGGGTGGATTTGATTATGGGTTGGACT